GAGCTACAAGATCATCTTCCTTTCCCATATAAGATCATAGACTCACCCTCTATTGTTGTAATGTATAGATAGTCCATATATTAACTGTGTCTTTACTTAACAAGACAAGACTTCCATCTAAGTCGTTGTAACCAGCAACGTTATCGCCCTGGCCCGGGACTAAAGTTATCAAACATCCTGCAAGCCCCCTCTTCAAAAGACTCTTCCCAGTAATCAAGATCTAAGAAGATACAGCAGACAAATGGACTTCCTCATCCTGAGAACTGTGATTGACTTTGCCTGAGCTAACAAGACAAACAGCATGTTTTATAATTATTGCTTCCATGCTTTATATACCCTGTTCCTTAGAGTAAATCTTTTACTGCCCCTCACCCATTTACTTGCATGTATCACATTTTCAATAAAAAGGCATGATGATTCCTAGCAGTTGTCACTCCTCAGAGAGCAATCTCTGGGAGTGTCCGGCTAAGGATGTGCATGAAAAGCATCGAGGCCTTAGTCTTCCTTTCTTTCCAGCGCCGCCTCCGTCGAGATAACCCACCCACGCCGAGGCTGGACCCCGGCACATAGCGGCTTGAAAAATCACACCAGGGGTGTGTGTGTGTACCTGCCCCAAATCCCAAGAATGGTGAAAAAGGAATTAAGGCATGGCCTTCTCCATTGGGGGTGATTTCCTGCACCTTCTCCCTCTCTATGGCAAGCACAACTGCTCTGTGGGGAGAAAGAAAAAAAGAACAAGAAAAGACTGGAAAATACTAAAACCCACACAGTAGAGGGACATACTTCTAGACTTCTGAAAGGAGCAGAAACCACACAAAGATCTTTATGTTGTAGCTTAGGGATCATTAAGCATTCTAATACAATCATAACAACAATGGACAACACAAAAAATAAATAAATAAAACAAAAAACTGCAGAGAAAAATAACATGACTAACAAAATGTACTTATAGTCATGGCAGTGTTTAGTGAAATAGTGGGCTTTATCTAAAGTAGGCTGCCTTAATCTGTTTCCCCTGAAAGAAGACTTTTTTTTCCCCATAGGTTGTATATGCTTGCCAGAAAGAGACAGTGAAAGAGTAAGTGAGAAATCATCCTCCACGGACCAGCAGTTAGTGTAATGGCTATGTTGCTGGACTCCTATGTAATTTATTATTATTTTTTTTTTGAGATTTTTGCTACGCTCACCAGACAGACAGAGAGAGACAGAGAGACAGAAAGCAGGAAATCACCCCCCAGGGGGGTGGCCACGCCATAATCCCTTCTCCTCCATTCTCCTCTCGGGATCTTGGGCACGCATGCACACGTGCCTGGCATGAGTTTAAGCCACCGGGTCCGGGACTCGAACCGCGGTCAACTACGTGGGAGTCCAGCGACATAGTCATTATGCTAACTGCTGGTCCCTGGACTCTTATGTAATTGACTGTGGCTCAAGTCCTGGACCTGGTGGCTTAAACTCATGCCAGGCACGTGTGCATGCGTGCCCAAGATCCCGAGAGGAGAATGGAGGAGAAGGGATTGCGGCTGGGCCATCCCCCCTAGGGGGTGATTTTTCACTTTCTATCTGTCTGTCTCTCTGTATTTCTGGCAAGCGCACATGTCCTATAGCAAAAACCTCTCCAAAAAAAAAGAAAAAAAAAAATCATCCCCCAGGGAGGATGGCCATATTGTAATTCCTTCTCCACTGTCCTTCTGGGATTTTGGGGACGCACACACATGTGGCCAGTGTGATTTTCAGACTGGCAGGTCCAGGACTTGAACCATGGTTGGCCATGTGGGAGTCTAGCAGCTTAACCATCATGCCACCTGCTGGCCCCTGAAAGAAGACTTTTTTTTGGGGGGGGGGAGGTTTTTCACTATAGGGCGCGTGCACTCGCCAGACAGACAGAGAGAGACATAGAGACAGGAAGCGAGAAATCACTCCCCAAGGGGGATGGTCACGCTGCAATCCCTTCTCTTCCATTCTCCTCTCGGGATCTTGGGCACGCATGCACACACGCCCGGCGTGAGTTTTAAGCCACCGTGTCTGGGACGCAAACCGCGGTCGACTACGTGGGAGTCCAGCAACATAGCCATTAAGCTAACTGCTGGTTCCCGAAAGACATTTTTAAGCGAAGGGGAAGATAAAGCCTAGAGCAGCTTAGACACTTAAATCCAGCCCCTATAATGAGAATGTCAAATTACTTGGACTGTATGTCAAGGCTTGTCCAACTCTCACTGCCCTTCTTTGGAGTCAAATGGAGTTGATCTGGAGACCTGACTCCGAGCTTATGGTGGTGAATGCAGGAATCGGCCTTCTGGACCTGTTTCTATCTGTGAAGCAGGGATACTAAAGCTGACCTCACAAGTCTACTGTTCCAATTCCATCAGATCATTCATGTAGCAGGAAGCACAGGGCTTGGTCCAAAACAGATGTATAAAGAACACTCACCACTATTGTCTAAGCTATACTTTTACTATACTATTCTCTCTCCTGTAAGCACACACGCCCCGCTACCTTAAATTTAAAAGATTCCTTTTCATTCAGTATTTTAAAAGGAACTAGCTGACTTCTTACTCCCTTCACTGACGCCAAAAGAGACCCCAGGTTCAGCAAACTTTGCATACCTAGGCCATTTCCATGAGTGGGACTAAATCCTTTCAGGCACCTGTATCCACCAATCCTGAACGAACGTGTCCACTGCTTTTATCAGGCACTAAAAGCAAGCCTTGGCTGAGCCTCTACTGCTCCCCAAAGACCCGGCCCATCCACCTGCCTACCTGCTCGGCATGGAGCTCTGCGAGGTGGCAGAGTGCGACAGCAAAGGACTCCGTGTTGTTCTGCTGCACGCCCACGCTCACCGACTCCAGGCTGTTCATGCTCAGCAACATCTGGGCCTGCTGCAGTGCCATGGTGCTGGGGGAGGAGCAAACAGGATTCCCTTATAGTCAGCAGACTCTGGCTGCCCTCAGCCTCACCCTTCTGCTATCTTAGCGGATGCACAAGGACATGCAATGTCTAGCTTTGTGAGAGCAGCTGCCTCCCAACGCCAGCAATCCTACTCTCAGGGTACGGAGAGCAGGAAAGCATCCTGAATGTGCAGCCCCCAAGGAAACGTGGTGGTTACGGCACAACTGGGAGCTCCAAGCTCCCAGAGCCCAGTCCCCCCGCCCCGCCCGCCCCTGCAGTCACAGTAAGTTAATTCGCTTTCGTGGTAAACTCAGACCAATGCCGTCCTGGCACCAGCTGCTCTGGCAATGTAAGCAGTGGCCAGTGTCTGCAGCTGTTTCAGAGCACACCGTGCCAAAAAATTATCTGAAATACAAAAACAAGACTGGTAAAACAGACACTTCCTTTAATTCCTGAATTCCTAGAAAGAGTAGATTGTCTAGGTGAGGGGTGACAGTAATGTAGAGAAAGGAATCCAGGATGAAAATCTGGTTCAGAAGTTTACTTCCAAGCTAAAAGTGGCTACATGGAAAAATAAACATGAGGCTGGAAATATTCCACAGAAAACATCCTGGTTAACAGAAAAGCAACTCTCTTTACACCACAGCTTTGGGGTTCAGGGGATACTAGACTTAAGTGTCTGTGGACCATGCCTCCTACAAAGAGGAAGAGGAGCACCAGGCTCAGAGACAGAGGCAAGGGTGTGAGTGCTGGCTCTGCCATTTGTTAACTACATTTGTGACTGTGGGCAGAACAGGTTTGTGAACCTGGGGCCACTCATCACAGAATGGTGATCACCCACCCGCTACCTCACATGTGCATGGGGAAAAAAACTGCAAAATCTGTGTAAAGTACAAAATGCTTTAAGATTTTGCAGTATCTCTTCTAATCCCCTGCATGAACAATCTCTACCGAGTGGAAACCATGTACACCTAGCCTTTCAGAACCAGGCTGCAAGCTCCTGCTCGTCTACCAGATCCACACTTGCACAGCCTTGATCTGCTGGAAGATCTACCTGCGGCCGTAGAGCCTCCAGATGGCCGTTTTCTGTGCGATGCTGATGTCAATGAGCTCTGACAGACTGTGTTTCCAGTGCAGGAGGTCGGAGTCCTTCAGGGCGTCCATCAGCTTGTTTGCCGTCTTCCCAGCGAAAGCTCTCTGTTGAACAAGGGACTGTATTCCCAGGGAGGCGAGGTACTAAGGGGACAGATATACCCACGACCCAAGATAGAGATTACATGACAGAATTTGTTTTCCTCTTCAGAAATGTGGTGGACTTCACATTTCAGCACATGCAAAGTGACAGCACTATTTAAAAGGAAAGTATCTACAACCTAACCTTAACCCTGACCCATACGAGATGTGTTCCTGAAAAACTGGGGCTGGAAGAGGCAGAGGGTATAGGTTTAGAGCCAGGGCTTTGGCATTAGATGGACCTAAACTTAAGCACTGCCTCTGCTACTTACTGTGTGACTTAGGGCCAGTCACTTAGCTTCTTAGCTAAGCCTCAGCTTCCCCATCTGTAAAATGGGCATCAAACATATCACAAAGAATTGTGGTAAGGATTACAATGAAATAATGTATGTCAAACAGTGCTGGGCACATTATGTAATAGGAGATGCCTATCATGAGCAACCAATTATTTTTTCATTAACTTCCGCTATTACCTTCAAGGATAAAAACTCAACTAAAATAAAGTCAGCTTCAGTCCACAAAAGTGTGCTTAAGTAGTATATCATTTATTTTAAGGAGTCACTTTTGTCACTATAATTAATTCTGTACATGTAAGTGTACTTTCTCAGAAGTCAGTCGCATAGACAATTTACAGATCTAAAAAGCGTATGCATTATTACACATTATTTTCAACTGTACTGAAGTTTGTCATAAACTGTAAGACAGAATGCTTTAGCAGTCACGCTGCCTATGGTCCCATATTCAGTAGATGTTTGTGAGACAGAATAAGGTTCTTCAAGCAACAGCAATCTGGATTCTAGAAGTCACTACTACTTCACATATGTAGACCATGCCCTTTTGATGACCCTCAGTTTATATCACTGAGGACTAGAGTTCTGTTCCTTCCCTGTCACACAAAATAAGAAAGGACAAGTCTGCTCACCAGGGTTACTGGTGCCTGGCTGTTTACTGTTTAAAACAAGGATCAGCAAATTTGTCCTATAAAACAGCAGAGAGTAAATAATTTAGGTTTTACGGCCACACTTGGTTTCTGTCGCATAATCATCTTTGTTGCTTTTCCCCCCAACCATTTAAAAATGTAAATCACGGGGATGGCAGGTGGCGTGGTAGTTAAGGATTCTAGACTCCCACGTGGCCAACCGTGGTTCAAGTCCTGGACCTGGCAGCTTGCTTTCTTATTTTTCCTCTCTCTCTCGCTCTGTCCCTCTCGGGTCAAATCAAAATAAATAAATAAATAAATAAGTAAATAAACAAATAAATAAGTAAAATGTAAAACCCAAGGGCCAGTAGGTACAGTGGTGGTTATAGCATTGAATTGCCACATGGCCGACCACAGTTCCAGTCCTGGAACCGGCCACATGTGTGTGCATGCCCAAAATTCTGAGAGAGAATGCAAGAGAAGGGATTGCAGCTTGGCCATCTTCCCTGGGGGAAATGATTTTTCACTTTCCCTATCTCTGCCTTTGTTTCTCTCTGGGTAGTGTATATACCTCATGGCAACAACCTTAAAAAAAAAAAAAAAAAGTAAACCCCACTCTTCGATTAAAGGCTACAGGTAAGCAAGTAGAGTCAGATTAGGCCCATGACCGTACGGTTTGCCAATCGCTGGCTTAAAAATAAGCTTTTCTTGGGGCTAGCAAGTGGCATGGAGGCTAAGTTGCTAGATCCCACATGGCCACCTTTGTGGTTCAAGTCCCAAACCTGGCGGTTTGAGAATCATACTAGGCACATGTGCATGTGTGCCCCAAACCCTGAGAGGAGCATGGAGGAAAAGGGACTGCAATGTGGCCATCCCCTCTGGGGGTTGATTTCTCACTTTCACTCCCTCTCTGTCTCTCTGGCAAGCACACACACCCTATAGCAATAACTAAAAAATAGTAATAATAATAATAACAAGCCTTTCCTAAAATCTTTCTTTCTTTTCTTTTCTTGTTATTTTTTTTTTTTTAGAGATTATTGTTATAGGGACCATGTACTTGCCAGAGAGACAGACAAAAAGTAAGAAATCACCCCCCATGGGGGATGGCCATGCCGCAATCTCCCATTGGGATTCTGGGGGAGCGCGTGTGTGCGCATGCATGTACACACACACACACACACACACACACACACACACACACACACACACACCCAGCATGAGTTTCACGTCTCTGAGTCCAGAACTCAAAGCACAGTTGGCCATGTGGGAGTCCAGCGACATAACTATTATGTCATCTGCTATTCTAAGTGAATACATGCTAAGTTAATGTTGCTCAATAAACTAAACAAAGATCTTTATCGAACTGATCAATGGAACTTCCACAGATGCTATTAGGATAAAGGAAACAGACAGAAAAACCTACCAAACATAACTTAGTGGTTTTATTAAAATTAAGGCCTCTGGAACTACCCAAAATAAAACCCCACACTGAAATTTCCATTCTAAAACTATCATTGGCTCATAACGAAGGTGGGTAAGGACAGAGACAAAGGCTCAACACCATGTATTTAAACAATCTCACAGAAGATGAGCCTTACCGGTAACCCAAAATGTACTGCTTTCTTCACGGAATGTTCCAGCAGGACATAACTATCGGACCTCTTCTGCCCCAGCACATACAGCCAACTCTGGCGAGAGAAAGCATCAAAGCATATTACAACAATGTCAACAGCTACCGTGCTAGTGAAATATCAATGTGCTCATAAGGAAGAGTTCTAAAGGGACCAAGTAAATCCTCCAAAATACTCTCTTTTATGAATTATGAGCCTAAATCAAACCTGCCAAATACATCAAACATATTAAAACTATACAATCAAACTGAAATAAACCACTAATTTCCTTCACCTCTGACAGCCATGAATGGCAGGTGTTTCAGAAAACAATGCATAAAGACCCCAGATGGCCTTTATCTGAGAAATGGTATTCTCAGGAGATCATCAAGTGACTTCTGTGCTCTACCTGTGGTTGGTGGTTATGCTCTTACAGGACCATGTCTCACCCAGTTACTAGGTGTTACATGCACCTTTCTGGTAATGCAAATATCCAGCTAAAGGTTGACGTTTTTCAAGGCAAGTTGCACTAACATTTGCAGATAAGAAATGTCCTCAAAGTAGAACAGATGTCATGAATTAAGAAAGATAAATAAATATGGATGGCCCTTTCTGAATTCCCATGACTGCCTAACTAGTTTCTGCTAAGGACCCTTTGTTCCAATTGAAAAACAACCCGACTTGAACGGGGGCTTTATGATGACCAACACAACCCATGAGCAAAACTTCCCGACCTCAGGATGGCCTCACCAAACAGTGCTGGAGACACACGTGATCGTTGGACTCCTGGGCAATCCTAATTGCCTCCTGCAGGGCGAGCTCTGCCTGTTGACTAATGACAGACTAAACATTAATGTCCCGTTAACATTCACAACGCACAAGCAATGGCAGCAGGGAGTCAGCTGTACACAGCTCACCCTAGTGTAGGTCTCTGGTTGAAGGTTGTAACAATTTATGGGCTTAGTCTCTGACAAGCAGGCCTCACCCCCAGCAGTGGGAAACATTAACAGTGGAGATGCAGGACATGTCCCTTCTAAGGTGAAGTTCTAATGAAAGGGACATAAAGCACCAGCACATGTGTGTGCGTGCCCAAGATCCCGGGAGGAGAATAGAGAAGGGACTGTGGCATCGCCATCCCCACTGGGGGGTCATTTCTCACTTTCCCTCTCATCATGTCTGTTCCTCTCTCCCTGACAAGCACACATACCCTTGGGCAAAAACCTGTGTTTTGTTTTGTTTTGTTAATTTTTAAAATGTTTTTAGAGAGAGATTTTTTGCTATAGAGTGTGTGTACTCACTGGAGAGACAGAGAGAGACAGAAAGCAAGACATCGTCCCCCCAGAAGATGGCCACACCACAATCCCTTTTCCTTCATTCTCCTGTCAGGATTTTGGGCACACATGCACACATGCCCAGCATGAGTTTCACGTGGCCAGGTTTGGGACTTGAACTGTGGTCAACTACTTGGGAGTCTAACAAACAATGTAACCATTACACCATCTGCTGGTCCCAGGCAAAAATCTCTTTAAAAGCACGGTGGGGAGTAAGGGAACAGGTGGCATAGGAGTTAAGGTGCCAGACTCCCACATGGCCAACAACAGTTCAAGCCTTAGACTTGCCAGTTTGCTTTCTTGATTCCCCCTCCCCCTCTCTGTTGCTCTGTGGTCAAATTGGGGGGAAAAAAGGGGGTGAGTATGTGAAGGAATCGTTTCTATCCCTGTTTCTAAGATGTTTATTTTAGCTGCTCACTGCTGAGGGGAGAGACAAGGAGAAAAGATATTATTTTACTTTTCATTGCATTCCCTTCTTCATTATTTAAGTTTACTTTATGATGTGCATTATTTCTATAATTTTTAAAGAATTATTTATGTAATTAATTCCATTTATTATTATTATTTTAAAATTTGACCTGAGAGACAGACAGAAAGGAAAAGCGAGAAAGCAAGGACCAGGTCCAGGAATAGAACCACCATTGGCCATGTGGGAGTCCAGTTCCCTTAACCATCATGCGACCCACCAGTCCCATTTCTATAATGTTTTCTTTAAAAAACTAGTTTTTAAAAGTATTTTGAAGATTCCCACCACTGAGATTCTTCTCCCCACTCATGTTCTCCCTTCATCTACGTCTTCCCCAACCTCTTAACTTCTGTGGAAGTCCAACCAACTATTCTTAGTCTGATTGAACTCACTCTTGAAAACACCCACAGAAATTCTACCTGTACCCCACTTTGCAATGAATAATTAAATACTATTGCCTATCATCTCCTGTTTATTTAATTTGTGCTAATTCTATCAACTAGTTTACAAACCTCCAGATGGCAAAAGCTGGATCTTAAATTTGGGATTTCCCAATGACAAGTCACAGAGTAGTCATTGTACAAACAATGACCAATGAGAATCTCAATATCGGACCAGAAATTCTTGGGTGTCACTTATATAAGGAAAAACTTTCATAAGGAATTTTCTTCAACATTAGCAATAGCATCACTTGAATAATGTTAACTAGGTAGAGTTGAATTTTTTCTCAATAACTGCTTTTTCAAATAAGAAACCAGAAACGGGTTAAGGTTGCTGTAATCCACGTGGCTGACCACTTGGTTCAAGTTCTGAATACAGTGGCTTGAGAAATATACCAGGCAAATCATTTTTTTAGAATTATTTATGTCCAAAATCCCAAATGACAGGAGAAATGGAAAAGGGACTGTGGCATGACCAGTTCTCACAGGGAATGCTTTCTTATCTTCTCTCTCTCTACCAAGCACAGGTACCCTCTGACAAATTAACAAAAGAAAGAGGGGTTAGGGGCGCTAGACTCCCACATGGGTCAACCACAGTTCGAGTCTCAGACCTGGTGGCTTGCTTCCTTACTTTCTCTCTCTAGTGAGTGCACAGGCCTTACGATAAATTAAAAAATAATAAAAAATAAGATTAAATTAAAATAATTATTTTTTAAAAAATAATAATGTGATCCTTAGAAAAAACACTTTTGGAAGAACTGTATAGATAGTAGGTTAAAACAGGACTAAAGAGATTATATTTCTCCCAGGTAGGAAGGTAGATGATCAATGCACAAACTTCAAGAGAATCATGTAAATCCTGTGATTAAATGTAATATAAACAAATATGATAACAATAAAATAATTTTTAGAAATTTTTAAAAATTATTAAATCCCTTAAAGCGATTGCACCGTTTTTCATCATTTCTGATCAGAAAGTCCTCTGATAAAAAAATGTCAGTAAGAGGGCTGGCCGATGGATGGTGGTTAAGGAGCTGGACTCCCACATGGTCAACCACGGTTCAAGTCTCAGACCTGGCAGCTTGCTTTCTCAATTTCCCTCTTTTTTTCCTCTATCTCTGTTCAACTAAGATAATGGTGATTATGGTTAATAAAAATTAAATAAAATGATTATTAAAAAAAATTTTAGTAAGAGGGCCAGCTAGTGTTGCGGTGGTGAAGTCACTGGATCCCACATGGCTGACTATGTGGTTCGAGTCCCAGACCTAGAGGTTTGAGAAGCAAGTGGGGTGCATATGCATGCATGCCCAAAATCCTGAGAGGAGAATGGAAGAAAAAGGATTACAGTGTGGCCATCCCCCTGGAGGTTGATTTCTCACTCTGTCCCACCCTCATCTCTCTCTGGTAAGCACATGTGCCCTATAGTAAACTTTAACAAAAAAGTCAGTAAAAGTGCAAGAGGCAATAGGCTATTATATCTGAAACAGACTAGATGACTACTGTTTTCAAAATGCCAAATAGCATGGCAAATATTTATGAGTACATAAAAAAATGAAAGGCCCTGATCAAGAGGTTATTAAAGCTGGACAGACAAAGAAGTTAGTTATTACAAGGTATTACGGAAGCTCGTAAAACCGTGGATCTAGAGTAGCCTTAAACATTTCCAGGCACATCAATCTGATGTTCGAATGGACTTCAAGACATACCTGGCCTAGACTTGAGCACTGCACTGACACCATTCTCAGAGGGCTCTGTACAGGGAAACTTCTTCCTTATATGAGCCAATATATTTTGCCCTTTAACTTGCACTCACCAGCTCTCAATCTTCTCTACTAACCATACCCTCGATAGACCTAAACCCTTTCCACAAGACCTTTTACTACGCGAGATGTCAAACAAATGTTTAGCTAAATTATCTTTTCTCCAGACTAAACATTTTCACATCTTTCCCACAGTATTCACAGACATGGCTTTGACTATCCCAATGCTGATACTGTCCCCCGCAACAGGCTCCAGCATGTCTATGTCCCTTTAAAAACCTGACAACCAGAAATTAATAGAGTTCTTTGGGCGTGGCTGGCCCACAGAAAGGAGTAGAGGTCTCAGTTCTTGAACTTTGGATACTATATTCCCATTGTTAAACTCTAGAGTCTGTATTCAAAGATGCTTATAGCAGAGAACACAGTTCTCTCAACTGGTAAAAAACCATGCAAGAGAGGCAAGCAGGTGGTGTAATGGTTAATGTGCTAAACTCCTACATGGTTGACCACAGTTCGAGCCCTGGATTTGGTAGCTTGCTTTCTTACTTTGTCTCTCTCCCTCTCTCTCATGAGTGCAAGTGCCCTATGGTAAATTAAAACAATAATAATTTTGTTTTAAATCCATGGGTGGGGCCAGCAGGTGGTGTGGTGGTTAAGGAGGCTGGACTCCCACATGGCCAACCATGGATCGAGTCCCAGACCTGGCAGCTTGCTCTCAATCCCTTTCCCTCTGTCTCTCTATCCCTCTCTGGTCAAATTAAAAATAAGTAAATAGGAGCTGGCAGGTGGCATGGTGGTTAAGGACACTGGATTCTCACATGGGTGACCACAGTTCAAGTCCTGGACCTGGCAGCTTGTTTTCTTGCTTTCCCTTTCTCTCTCTCTCTCTCTCCTTCTCTATCTCTTATCTAGTCAAAATAAAAAATAACAAATGGAATTAAATAAATTCTTTTTTTTTTTTTTTTGGAGAGATTTTCACAATAGGGCACGTGCGCTCACCAGACAGACAGAGAGAGACAGAGAGACAGAAAGCGAGAAATCACCCCCCAGGGGGGATGGTCACGCCGCAATCCCTTCTCCTCCATTCTCCTCTAGGGATTTTGGCTTGCCACGCACACGCGCTCGGCCTGAGTTTTAAACCACTGGGTCTGGGACGCGAACCGCGGTCAACTACGTGGGAGTCCAGCGACATAGCCATTATGCTAACTGCTGGTTCCCAATAAATTCTTTAAAAAATTAAATATAACTAAATAAATAAAGTTAAATAAAACATTTTTTTCTTTTGGAGAGGTTTTTCTATAGGGTGCATGCGCTTGCCAGAAAGACAGAGACAGAGACAGAAAGTGAGAAATCACCCCCTGGGGGGATGGCCACACCACAATCCCTTCTCCTCTTCTCTCCTCTTGGGATCCTGAGCACGCACCCACTCATGCCCAGCGTGAGTTTAAGCCACTAGGTCCAGGACTCGAACCACAGTTGACTACATAGGAGTCCAGCGACATAGCCATTACGTTAACTGCTGGTCCCAATAAAAGAATTCTTAAAAAAAAAAAAAAAGGGGGGACCAGCAGGGGGCATTGGGGGGTAAACCACGGGGCCCTCCCACATGGCTGACCACGGTCTGAGTCCCAGACCTGGTGGCTTACTTTCTCTCTCTCTCTCTCTCTCTGTGTGTGTGTGTGTGTGTGTGTGTTTCTCCCTGGTCAAATTTTTTAAAATGAGAATGAATAAATTAAAAATTAAAAAAAGAAAAACCTGACCAAGGGCCATGCAGGGGGACCAACTGAAGACTTTCAGTTAATAATTTATCTTTCACCAGTCACCATTTCTGATGTTATTTCATTGTTTCCAAAATAGCCTCCATATTTTGAAAATTTCCTACCTACCTAGTTTTAATAAACAATAACTGAATGTTTTTCTTATTTTATTCAAGCATTTTTTTTAAGGAGTTTTGCCACAGGGTATGTGTGTTCGCCAGAGAGAGGGGAATAGAGACAGACAAAGGCATAGGGTTAAGGTGAGAAATCATCCCCCCTAGTGGGGATAGCCAACCTGTAATCCCTTCTCCTCCATTCTCCTCTTGGGATTTTGGGCATGCATGCACACACACCTGGTGCCACCAGGTCTGGGACTCGAATCATGGTTGGCCATTTAGGGGTCCAGCATCTCAACCACCACACCAAATGCTGGCCCCTACATAGGCATATCTTAACAATGGACTAAGCCAGTGTCACTTCACTGAACTGTCTAAATTTCAACAAAAGCAGACATGTGACATTTAGTAAATCTGGGCAGCCCTTTCATACAGGAAAGGGATAACTTCCTTTTGACTTTAGAAATACTGAAAATAGCCTTTGCGTTCCCATTATCCTAAAAATCCTTTTGAGAACGTCTGGCCTGGGACTAGCAGATGGCATAAGGCTATGTCGCTGGACTCCCATGTAGTAATTACAGTTCGAGTCCCAGACCTGGTGGCTTAAACTCACACCAGGCGCATGTGCATGTGTGTCTAAGATCCCGAGAGAAGAATGGAGAAGGGATTGCAGCATGGCCATCCCCCAGGGGGTGATTTCTCACTTTCAATCTCTCTGTCTCTGTCTTTCTGGAGAGTGTACAGCGCCCTATAGGAAAAACCTCTCAAAAAAAAAAAAAAAAAAAAAAAAAAAAAAAAAAAAAAAAAAAAGAATTGTTTGTTCAACTTTATTTATTTATTTATTTATTTATTTATTTTTAATTTGATGAGAGAGTGAGAAAAAGTAAGAAAGCAAACCGCCAGGTCTGGGACTCGAACCATGGTTGGCCATGTGGAAGTCCAGCACCCTTAACCATCATGCCACCTGCTGGTTCCTCTTAGTCGCCCCTGGGGGGTGATTTCTTGCTTTCTGTCTCTCTGTCTGTCTCTGTCTTTCTGGCAAGCGCACGTGCCCTATAGCAAAAACCTTTCCAAAAAAACAAAAGAGAACCTCTGGCCTAATGACCTAATTCATTTTCACTGAATGGCTGTTCTTAGAAGTAAGGAAAGAGGCCAAGTACTAAGAGAGCAATGTTGTATGGTGACACCAGAGGGCAGACTGTTTAGGTATAAGGTTTTCATTAATTCTTTTTTGGGGGGGCGGGGGAGAGGTGTTTGCTATAGGGCATGTGCGCTCGCCAGAAAGACAGAGAGAGACAGAGACAGAGAGCGAGAAATCACCCCCCAGGTGGGATGGGCACAATGCAATCCCTTTTCTTCTATTCTCCTCTTGGGATCTTGGGGCATGCATACACATGCGCCTGGTGTGAGTTTAAGCCACAAGGTCCAGGACTCAAACCACGGTTGACTACATGGGAGTCCAGCAACGTGGCCATTATGCTAGCTGCTGGTCTCGGTTTTCATTAACTCTTGTTCAAGGGCACATAGGTCTCTCTTTGGGAGTTCTTGATAAGTCCTGGTTAAAGTCTTTCTTTCTTCTCTTCTTCTTTCTTTACTGTATTGTTTCTAAAAATACATCTCAATTAATATTTGAAAGTTATTTTTCTCAATTTCTTTATGGACAAAAGTCTATGAACTTACTAGTGACCGAAGCGGCAGTGCAGGGCAGCCAGGTTCAGGGCGGCATATCTCAAGCTTCGGCCATAGCCCTCTTCCCCGTTACTTTTGCTTTCAGCTCCAGTGAGAATCAGACGGTCAAAATAATGAAGGAGGCTGTGTGTTGAACTGAAAACATCTTGGACACGGAGGTTGTTTAAGTAGCTAAGATAATGCTAAAATAAGGAACAACAGATTTTAAATGTTTCACTTTCTTTTATATCAGGAACTATATCAGAGCATTCCTCTAGCTACAAACACTCATGTTTTCCCCACCCTGCTAACAAGACATTGTTTAGCTTAATCTTTTCTCTATCGGCAGAATGAAACAGGTATGAGATACCTGGTTTAGCACAGCTCTCCCCAGAGCAAGTCCACAAGTAAAAAAAAAAAAAAGGAGTTCTAGTAGTGTCTATGTCAGTTCTACACTAAATATACATCCCGGCCACTGGTTACGTAGGACCTGTGGGCGACATGTGAGAGTAGGGGGCCTCACCTAGCTCAGGTATTAAACACTTCTGTGAGTTAAAAATACTAGACCAAGGGGCCGGCAGGTGGCATGGTGGTTAAAGGTGCTGGATTCCCACATTACTGACCATGGTTTGTGTCCTGGGCCTGGTGGCTTGCTTTCTCACTTTCCCTTTCATTCTCTCTCTGTCTCTCCCTGGTCAAATTAAAAAATTATAATTACAACAAATGGAATTAAATAAACAAATTAATAATTCTTTAAAAAAAGTAATAAGTAAAAATAAAAAATACTAGACCTTAAAACCCAAACTCATGGGGGCTGGCAGATGGCATAGTGATTAAAGTGCTGGACTCCCACATAGCTAACTGTGGTTCGAGTCCTGGACCTGGTGGCTTGCTTTCTCACTTTCCCTTTCTCTCTCTTTTTTTAAAGAATTTATTTAATTTTATTTAGTCATTCATTTATTTTAATTTGACCAGAGAGAGAGAGAGAAAGTGAGAAAGCAAGCCACCAGGTCCAGCACTCCAACAGTGGTCAGCCATGTGGGCGTGTCCAGCACCTTAACCACCATGCCACCTTAACCACCATGCCACCTGCTGGTCCTCAAAATTAAATAATTTAAAAAAATATATTAAAAAAGAAAACCCAAACTCATATATAACTTATAAAATTAATGTTAAACGCCGTGAGACTTTTATAGGGCCAGCAGGTGGAGTGGTGGTTGAGGCACAGGACTCCCACATGGTTGACCACAGCTCAAGTCCTAGACTTGGTGGATTGCTTTCTCACTTTCCCTCTCTCTCCGGTGAGCATATCCAACAGCAAATTTAAATAATAATAATAAACAAAATTTTTAAAAAACACAGTGAGACTTTTATTAGTTTGAAAAGTTAATTATTTCACTTTATTTTGAGTTGTTGAACTAAACTTCCCTTCTATGGCCAGATCCCAGTTACTAAAAAGCAAACCGGACAAATTTCTACCCAAGGATAAAGTGTGGTGTCAAATCCAAATGCTACTAAGAAAGTTTTCAGGCCAGACCATAACCTAGTAGTTAAGGCAGCTGGATCCCAAATGGTCAGATCATGTTTCAAGTCTCAGATCTAATGGCTTAAAAGGCATGCCTGGGACAAATGCACAGATGTCCAAAATTCTGAAGGGGAAGGAAGGGAGAGAGAGATGGGATTGTGGCATGACTATTCAATCCATGGAGAGTGATTTCATCCTGTCTCTCTCTGTCTTTCTCTGGCTAGCACATATGAACTCTGGCAAAATGTTTTAAAAAGGAAAAGAAAACAAAAAGTTTTGACAGGTCAGCAGGTGGCTTGATGCTTAAGGTTCTGGACTCGCACATGGCCAACTATGGTTCAAGTCCTGGACCAAGCAGCTTGAAAATTATGCTGGGCAGAACCAGCAGTTGGTGCAATGGCTATGTCACTGGACTTCCATGTAGCCGACTACGACTCGAGTCCCGGACTCGGTGCCTTAAACTCACGCCAGGCACGTATGCGTGCACGCCCAAGATCCCAAGAGGAGAATGGAGGAGAAAGGATTGCGGCATGGCCATCCCCCTTGTGGGGGGTGATTTCTCGCTTTCTGTCTCTCTGTCTTTCTCTGTCTTTCTGGCGAGCATACGCACCGTATAGCAAAAACCTCTCAAAAAAAAAAAAAAGAAAAATGGGGGCCAGCAGGTGGCATGGTGGTTAAAGTGCTGGATGTTCCCACAAGGCCAACCATGGTTTGAGTCCTGGACTTGATGGCTTGCTTTCTCACTTTCTCTTTCTCTCTGGTCAAATTAAAATAAATGAATGAATAAATAAAATTAAATAAATAATTCTTTAAAAAAAAAAAAAAAAAAAAGATGCTGAAAAAATCCTGAAGGGAAAAGGGAGGAGAGGGGATTCTGGAATGGCAATCTGCCTGGAGGGGGTGATTTATCACACTCCCTTCTCTGTCTCTGTCTCTCTTGAGCAAGTGCACACAGGAAAACCTTTAAAAAACAAAAAAAGGGGGGCGTGGTGGCGCCCGCCCTATGGCAAAAAACAAAAAAAGGGGAAGTTTTCACAGTGAAAAATTCACTAATTCCTATGGGATTACTGAAACTTTTAAAACAAGAACAACTAATAAAAGAAATTTTTTCAGCCCTAAAACTTTTTTTTTTTTATCACTACACTATCATTGTTAGTCCAAAATTTACAACATCAGAGAAATGGTGAATAAAAGAGAATATCAATAGACTGAAGAAACCCTGTGGCCCAGGGAGGGTGGGGGCAATTTTGCAACCTATACTCAGTTGTTTGCTGGCCAATAACATGATTTCTTTCAAGAACCTGGGCCAACAGATGGACTCTTATCTGCATAGTTATTCGATCTAAAGAGTGGTCTTGTGGGGCCGGCAGGTGGCATGGTGGTTGGGGCACTGGACACATGACACATGACCACTGCACACATGACCAACCGTGGTTTGAGTCTGGGACCTGGTGGCTTGCTTTCTCACTTTCTCTCTCTCTCTCTGTCCCTCTCTGATCAAATTAAAACAAAATAAATAAATATAAATAAAGTTAAATAAAATAATAATTAAAAAAAAAAATAGAGTGGTTTTGCTGACCCTTTCTAACTAAGCAATAAATTCCAGGAAAGACTCACCGCTTCAGCAAAATCAGGATTAAATTTCAACAAGTTGTTCAATTCTTTCTGCAAGGAAGCTGGAGTGAGGGCCTTAGTCTCGTCATTCTTTAACAAAGAAGCCTGAAATTTAAAAATGACAACTCAGTAGAAAGAAATGGTCAAGAAACATATGGAAACATATGAGGGGGGAGAGTAGCAGTTGGTCTAACAGCTATGTTGCTGGACTCCCATGTAGTCAACCATGGTTAAGTCCTGGACCCGGTGGTTTAAACCCAGAACTGGAGGCTTGTTTTCTCTCTCTGTGTTTCTCTCTGGTAAACAGATGTACCCTATAGCAAATTCAAAATAATAAAAAAATATAAAAATGTTAAAAGAGTCTTAATAAATAAATAAAATAAAGCCAGGACCAGCAGGTGGTGTGGTGATTAAGGTACTGGACACTCCCACATGGTCAACTGCAATTCAAGTCCTGGATCTGGTGGCTTGCTTTCCCACTTTCCTTCTTATCTCTCTCTTTCTCTCTTTCTGTCTCTCTCTGGCCAAATTAAAATAAATGAATGAATAAATAAAATTGAATAAGTAACTCTTAAAAAAAAAAGTCATCAACTCTCCATAATTTAAAAAATAAAAAAAATTGCTCATCAGACTCTTGAAGCTCCCTCCTTGTATCTTCAGCACTTAAAAAGGGCTGTATGATAACAGGTGCCCTCCCCTACCTAGTTATTTGTCTTACATGGATGATAACAGCAATGATTATACAAAATAAGTAGAAACTAGTTCAAATTTAAATGTTTATACTTAACTGTTACACTTTACTTCAATTTTACCTAGACAAATTTTTCTTTTTTCATTTTTTCTTTCTTTTTAAAGAATTATTTTATTCAATTTTATTTTATTTATTTAAATTTGACCTGAGAGAGACAGCGTAAGAGACAGGGAAAGTGAGAAAGCAAGCCACCAGACCTGAGACTTGAGCCACGGTTGGCCATGTGGGAGTCCAGCATCTCCCACCATGTCACCTGCCGGCCCCCCTTTTATTTCGAACAGGCCAGAAGGCACATGCACTCTTCTGACGGGGGAAAAGAAAAAGCACCCCACTATGGGGTATGGTTATGCCACAATCCCCTCTCCTCCATTTCATCTTTCAGGATTTTGGGCACACACACATGCCTGCCATGTTTTTCAAGCCACCAGATTCAGGACTTGAAGTGCACTGCTGGCCATGGAGATCTAGCTGCCCAAACCAATCCACAGGCTGGCCCAACTCAGTCTTTTCTTTTTTCTTATTTTACATGTGTGACAAACGTGTGTGTGTGTGTGTGTGTGTGTGCGTGTGTGTGTGTGTGAGAGAGAGAGAGAGAAAGTGCATGGGAACCATTTATTTTGAGAATATTATGCATAGGTTTTTAAATTTTTCACCAAAATAAACTCATACTTTAATTTCATTTTCCCATGAATGTTTTGAAGTCCCCCTTTGTGTGTGTGTGTGGGGGGGGAGGTGGCTGGGTGGGTATAGACACATTATAGTTTTAACAAAATTAGAATATGATGTGTAATTTTACTTTCTTTTCATTTAATAATGTATTGTAAAATTTGTCTCATTATCAAAGTCTTTAAAACTATAACTTGTAGGGGCTTGTAGGTAGCGTGGTAGATAAAGTTGCTGGATTCCCACATGGTCAACCACAGTTTGAGCTCTGGACCTGGCGGCTTGCTTTCTTGATTTCCCTTTCTCTCTCTCTCTGTCTCTGTCTGGTCAAACTGGAAATAATAATAACAAATGGAATTAAATAAATAAACTTTTTAAAATGCAACTTCTAAAGCAAAAGTGTTAATCCTTTGTCATATTTATTGTATATGGTTTTTCCCATTTTTTTGGTCTGCCTTTTAATTTTGTTAGAACATGTTCTGACATGCAGATGTTTTAAATTTTTACACTAAAAAGAAATCAAGTGATCTCCTATAGGTTCAGTTCCACAGCTTTTATGTTTAGAAAGTCTTTCTACAGCCAGAGATGAGTAAAAAGTTAATATGTAGTTCTTTCTACACTAATTATAGTTTTAAATATCTATATCCAACCCTTTAATCCATCTGCGGCACTGAGGTGGGGGCTGAGGTAAGGATCCAGCTGTATCTGTTTCTATAGTTAGCCAACTGTGTAGACGGGCTTTGCTCATCTGTTGGACATTTACCTGCAGGGGCAATCTCATCACTTTTATCTAGATTTAAACATTCTATCATTCTGCAGATGGAAAATTAATAACAAAAGTATAAAAAGTAGAGCAAAAAATAAAAATTCTATGCTGCAAATGATGTCACTGAGAGAATGAAAAACTATGGCTCAAGAGCAGCGAAAAGCAATGTTTGATGACCACGACGTGAAATACATCAGAAGGTAAGATGAGGGCTACTCCTGTAGTACAATGGTTAAGTGATATATAGAAAGAGCTAGGTCCACATGGCCAACTACAGTTCAAGTCTTGGACCTGCAACTTGAAAAACACACCATGAGTGTATCCAGGATTCTGGCAGGAAGAAGGAAGGGAGGAAAGGGGATGGTGTGAACAGGCCCTAATGGGGGGCATCCCTGCCCTCCGCTGTATATATTTATTCTCTGGCACTGAAAAAAGAAAAAAAAAAAAAAAGATGAACTAAGGATATTAAAAATTAATATATAAATAAATAGAACGAAATGGTGGCTGGATAGAGGATAAGGAGATAGGTGATAGACAAAAAATTAATTATAGAAACCAGGTGAAGAGTAGATGGGCATTCCCTATACTATGCTTTTCAGCTTTTATTCTGTTTGAAAATGTCTATAATAAAATGTCAGCAGAGGGAAGCAAGTCTTCTAAACTACTTGCTTTTGGGCCATGTTACTCATATACAATTATGAAATGAAACTTGCATTATAACTTTAAGAAAAAAATAAAATCGGACCAGCAGTTAGCGTAATGGCTATGTTGCTGGACTCCCACATAGTCGACCATGGTTCGAGTCCCAGACCCGGTGGCTTAAACTCACGCCAGGCTCATGTGCGTGCGTGCCCAAGATCCCGAGAGGAGAATAGAGGAGAAGGGATTGCGGCATGACCATCCCCCCGGGGGATGATTTCTCGCTTTCTATCTCTCTGTCTCTCTCTGTCTGTCTGGCGAGTGCACACGCCCTATAGCAAAAACCTCTTCAAAAAAAAAAGAAAAAAAGAAAATCACACACCAACTAGAAAGGGCCACAGCTACAACTACACTGTTAGTGAAGAAGAGAAGACTGAGAGTAAGGCAAAACACAGATTCACTAGTAAACCTATGATGTAACAGGCATATGACATGATACATATGTGTCACAATCTAAAACGAGAGTTCACGGTCAATTAGAGTTAACATACCTGCTGAGAAAGAAAATATTCTGCTTGTTTTTGGGACAAAGGTCCACTGCAAGATACCTCCTCTTCTCTGGAAAAAAATTTTAAAAATAGTAAAGAATTATACAAAATTAAAAATTGTAACATTTTCAAATCATAGATTCTTACATCGGAAAAGTTAAAAAACTTTAAATCAATTTTCTCTTCCCAGAAATGGATAACATCCTTAAAAATGATGTTGCAAGGACAGCAGATGGCATAGTGGTTACATCACAGGATTTCTACATGGCTGACCATGGTTTGAGTCCCGGACCCCGTGGCTTAAACCTTACACCATGTGTGCATGCATGCCCAAGATCTCAGGAGTAGAATGGAGGAGAAAGAATTGCAAAATGACCATTCAACAAATTTCCACTGAATACATTAATTGTTAAATCACTCTGATATGATAAAAAACAATTTTAGGACCCCAACAGAAAACAGTATATTTAAAGTGGGTGATTTTTTTTTTTTTTTTTTTTTTTAAATGAGAGAAAAGCAAGCACATACACACAGAGGCAAGAGAGGTATCTTTGACAGGGTCTCACCATGTCACAATCTTTCCTGGCTTGTCCTCCAAGTTAGCAAGGACGACAGGTGCCCAACCTGTTTAGGTTGAACTGGGAACTGAACCCAGACCCTCCACGTGATGCCAACCACTGCACAGCAGCGCCCTTCTGCCTACACCATTGCGGCTGGGCCAAACTGGGTAACTGAGAAGAGTTTTAACAAAGGACCATTTACAAAAGTAGGGGCAGGGGACAGAGATATTCTAGGGACAACCCAGTCCCCAAGACTGGTTAAGAGAGAACACCTTTATACCTCAAGTCTGGGAAGACCACTTAGTTACCAGACCTTCAAAGAAGTGCAGAGGGGACCACCTGACAGAAGTTGTAACCCTATAGCCTGCCCCCCGGCCCCAACTCCAATGGAAAGGAGTCTGAATCCACACCCTGACCTCACCCTGACCTCACCCTCACACTCTGCCCTCTGGATTTCCCATCAGTGCCTTCCACTAACCAATCACAAGTCAGAGGCCAAGAAGCCAACTGATACAACCCCTAGAAGTCAACTTCCTGGATGGTGATGGGCAAAAAAGGAAGAGCCAGCACATGAATCCTGAGTTGATGAGGAATTACTACACTTGAGGTTACCCTACTTCGCAGGGAAGAGATCCCTATCAGATATCCCAAGTTACCTCACAGACACATCAAGCTCTTCTTTTTCCATTTTTCTTTCACCCTCCTCTCCACTAGTCAGTTCCATATCAGCATCTTCTACTGTCTTTTTCTCACCATTTTGGAAGTATTGTTGAAGGGCAGTGTACAATTTAAACACTTGGCTGAAAGAAAGCTTACTGTAGGCCAAGATCATGTGACGCAGAAATAAACCTGCAACAGAAGACCACAGACAGGTGGAAAGCATTAACTAAAATCCAGGCTGCACCACGGCAATGAGCATTTGTGGCAATTCCTTCTTCACATAATCAGAGAGAGACACGTGCAGCTACCACTCTCTCCTTCTTGAATATCCATCTCCACCCATTACCAAGCTGGTTTCTCATCCAGAGCTCAGTCCTCCCGCCCTCACTCCACCATCTCTCTCCGCTACCACCTCCATGTTACTCCATGTTATTTTCCTCATGGCTGTTAATACTACCTGAAGTAATCTTAATCTGTTTATGTTTTACCATGTACCCCCCACACACACTAGAATATAATCTCCATAAGAGGAAAGCCTACATCTGTCTTATTCACCCATAGCCTGGCACATAGGATGAGAATAAATAATGTTAAATATGAATACTATAAAAATTACCAAGCGAACAAACTAGAGAGATGGAAGATGGACACGAAGCTAACAGAAAAGCATTAAAGGAATACTGTGTACGCCTCACCTTATACAGTGTGTCAATAATGTATTCTTACTTACCTGTTTTCTTGAATTCAGCTGGTGACTCTCCCGTTTACAGCTGTATAACACAGGCAAGAGTTCCCCAGAAATGTGAGAAAGAACTGGGAAACCTTACAAGCCTCTGGACCAGACTCTAATTCTGACTCCTGTAGACTAAAGGTGCTTTTCCGCAAGTAAACTACTTAAATACAGATTAAAATGCCAAGGCATACAAACTACAATATCTCCAACATCCCTACTGTGTAGCAGAGTCATGACAGATATGACTTAGAGAGCTGCTCACTTCATGGAAAATAATCTCTGCTCTTCTGAGAAGAGTGCCATACCTACTACACTTGTTTTGTGAACTTCTGGTTCAGTTCCGGAAAAAGAATCTGAAAGGTCATCAAAAAATTGTTCCATATCCTTCAGTTCACCTTCAGCCATCAGTTTGATCCTGAATGAGAAAATTAAGGTGTATATTTTAAGAAGGTCCTTTGAATATATTCTCATGTTTCACATTCCTCAATTATCTACAATAAATCTATTTTAAAGATAGTTCAGAGATTTATATAGTGGCATATAAAGAAAACATTATAATCCAAATGTCACTCCTATATTTCTAAAAAGTATCTGCATTTTTTTGTTTATTTTTAGAGAGGTTTTTGCTATAGGGCACATGCGCTCACCATTAAGACAGAGAGAAACAGAGAGACAGAAAGCGAGAAATCACCCCCGAGGGGGGATGGCCACGCCGCAATCCCTTCTCCTCCATTCTCTTCTCAGAATCTTGGGCACGCACATACATATTCCCAGAGTTTAAGCCACTGGGTTTGGGACTCAAATCCCAGTCAACTACGTGGGCGTCCAGTGACATAACCATTATGTCATCTGCTGGTCCCAAAAAAGCATCAATGTTTTCTTAACATAAAATTTGTCAAAGTATCTCATCAGCCAGTAAAAGTTTCTGCAAAAACTATAAAGAATGAGATGGCTCTATATCGAGTAATAAATTGGAGGGGGAGGGAAGCTGCAAAACAATATGTACAGGGTCAGCAGGTTGTGTGGATTCAGGTACTGGATCCCACATGACTGGCTGCACTGAGGCCCAGACCCGGTGGCTTAAAAAACACACCAGGCATGTGCAGGTGCACCCAAAATCTGGAGAGGAGAATGGAGAAGAGATACAGCATAACCATCCCCCTGAAGGATAATTTCTCACTTTCTCTATTTCTCACCAGTGAATGTACATACCTTATAGCAAAACTAAAAAACAAAACATAATATGTACAATATAATCCATTTACAAAAAAAAAAAACAAAAAAAACTAAAGGTATTTAGGAAATAAAGGTACTTAGAATAATAAAGGCATCTTTTTAAAGAATCAATAACCACATGGTCTTGGGGTAAGCAGGTGGCATAGTGGTTAAGGGCGCTGACTCCCACATGGCCGACTGCAGTTCGAGTCCAGACCTGGTGGCTTACTTTCTCACTTTTCTTCTCTCTCTTTCTCTCTCACTCTGTCCCTCTCTGGTCAAATTAAAATAAAAATAAGTAAATAAAGTTAAATAATTCTTAAAAAAATAATCTTTTGTTATTTTCATCTACTTGACATCTTTTCTTATACACAGAAAGTGAAGCTTACCTGATCTGTACTGAATTCGCCAACTGAGGACAAGATTCTTCAATTAACTTGTATAGTTTTGACAAGGTAATATCTGGGCCCTGAGAGAGAAGAGATAGTGAGATCACAGATCAATTTTTAAAAGCAGAAAATAGATAAAGAACTGCAAACATAAATTATCAACCCCTCTGTTTTAACAATCATTCCAAACATAAAATCTCAAATCAGGATTTTCCTATCAACCTAAAAAGCTCATGTAATACTTTGTGTTTCCATACCATTTTTGTTTATAGTCAGTAGAACTGTCTAAAATGGAAGAAGAAAGAAAAAGAAGGGGACCAGCAGGTGGCATGGTGGTTAAGGTGCTGGACACTCCCACATGGCTGACCACAGTTTGAGTCCCGGACCTGGCATCTTGCTTTCTCACTCTTTCTCTCTGTCTCTTGTCAAATTAAAATAAATGAATGAATAAATAAAATAAAATAATTATATAACCAAAAAAAAAGAAAAAGAAGCATGAATCCATTGCTCCTTCCTTAGCTTTGTAATCATGGCAAAATTATAATCTCTTTGAGCCCTAGTTTCCCCTATCAGTAAAACAGAAATACAGGCTAAGTATCCCTAATCCAAAGAGAGGAAATCCAGTATACTCCCAAATTCAAAACTTTCTGAGTATAATGATGCCATAGATAGAAAATTTCATACTCAACTGCATGAGACAGGTCGCAGTCAAATATTATATGGAATTGCTCTCAGGCTATATGAATAAGGTGTATATGGAAAATAAATAAATTTCATGTTTAGACCTGAGTTCCATCCCCAAGATAGCTCATCATACATACACGCAAATATTATTTTTCTAATGAATTACTTCACTTAACTTTATTTATTTATATCTTTTTATTATTATTATTTTTAAATTTGATGAGAAAAGGGGAGAGAGAGTGAGAGAGAGAAAGTGAGAGAACAAGCCACCAGATCCGAGACTCAAACCATGTTCAGCCACGTGGGAATCTGGCACCTGCTGGCCCCTATTTTATTTATTTAAACTTGACCAGAGAAGGACAGAATGAGAGATAGAGGGGGAAAGTGAGAAAGCAAGCCACGAAAGCAAGCCACCAGGTCCCAGGTCCAGACTCAAACCATGGTAGGCCATGTGGGAGTCCAGCACCCTTAAGCACCACACCACCTGATGGCCCCTATACACAAATATTCTAAAACCTGAAATACTTCCGGTCCTAAGCATTTTGAAGAAGGAATACTCAATCTGTAATAATAATATCTCCCTTAGTTGGAGCAAAATTTAATAATGCAAATTGCTTTGAAAATTAGAAAACACTACACAAATACAGACATTCTCTTTTTTGCAACCATAATCTCATTTGTTCCTATCCCAAACCTTGAAAGATAGGCATACATACTATGTGCTGAAGTCCATAAAAAGTACCATGAGAGCCAAAAAGTATGCAATCTCAGCTATGAAGATTACAAGAGGAACAGCAGATGGCATAATGGTTGCATCGCTGGACTCCCACATGGCCGATCACAGTTCAAGTCTCAGACCCAGTGGCTTGAAACTCATGCTGGGTACATGTGCATGCGGGCCCAAGATCCCGAGAGGAGAATGGAGGAGAGGGGACTGTGGCATGGCCATCCCCTCAAAGGAGGGCAATTTCTAATTTCTGTCTCTGTGGTGAACACAAGTGCCCTATAGCAAAAATCTCTTAAAAAAAAAAAAAATTACAAGCCAGCTAATGTTTAAAACTGAACAATATGTGGCTGGCAGGTGGCATGGTGGCTGAGGTGATGGACTCCCACGGGGTCAACAGTGGTTCAAGTCCTGGACCTGGTGGCTTGCTTTCTGACTTTCCTTCTCTTTCTCTCTCTGATCAAATTGAAATAATAATAATAAATAAAATAGTTAAAAAAAAAAAAAAACTGAACTCTGGGGCCAGCATGCAGCATAGCGGTTGAGGCACTGGACTTCCACATGGTCAACTACAGCTCGAGTCCTGGACCTAGTGCCTTGCTTTCTCACTTTGTCTCTCATGTGCCCTATAGCAAATTTAAAAATAATGATAATGATAAATAAAATTAAATAAATAAATAATTTTTTTAAAAAAACCTGAACACTGAATCTTTTTTGGAGTAAACTGACACTATACGTATCAATTTTAGATGTGATAACCCAACAATTCCACTTCCGAGAAGTGATGTTTTGCACACATCATTTGAAATGAAGAAAAGTTGAATAGAGATTTAACTTATAATTAATGTTAAATCATGTTGCTTTAGTTTATGCAGCTGTTAAAAAAAATATTCAATTGTGCTGACACAGAAAGACATCCAAGTCTTATTAAGGGCACAGAACAAATCTCAGAATAGAAATAACATTTAAGCTAAAGAAAGGAAAATTAAATTGAAGGTATTGGGTTGTCAGAAAAGTCATGACACATTTATGCACAGAAAAAGAAAAAATATGTCTTGATTTTGCCAACCTAACATGTATGTGGGAGGGGGCAACCCCAGGTGGGTTAAGCAGCTGGATTCCACATGCCAACGTAAGCGAGTGGATACCCAAAATCCCGAGAGAATGGATAAAGGATTGCAGTGTGGTCATCACCCCAGGAGTGATTTCTCATTTTCTGTCTCTCTCTAGCACAAATGTTCTATGGCAAAAACCTAAAAGAAAAAATAGAAACATTAGTTAACAGTAACTGAGGATCATGTGCTAATGACACAGTTCCTACAGTTCCAGATTTACAGAGAGAAGGCTGAGACCAAGCAGGTTAAGGAACCTGCCCAAGTGGCAGCTAGAAAGTTAGTGGAGCTAAGACCTGATTCTGCAAAATGAAATAAAGTCAGGGACATAGCACACAGTTAAGTGCTCATCACTGCTCGTCGTCAGTCTTGTGTCATTACTATTATTTACTACCCCCCTTTAGGATAGGAAGTCTATGGCTTATCTGTGTCTCCAACGTTCAGGACTATGTGGATCCTCATTTTACAGAAGACGGAGGATCTTAGAATTGAACTATTCTCCACTCAGCTAACACACACTAGACGTGGACCTGCAACAACAAAAGCCACACAAAGTGCCTGATGGGGACCAGCAGGTGGCTGGTGGTTAAGGTGCTGGACACTCCCACATGGCTGACCACGGTTCGAGTTCCAGACCTGGTAGCTTGCTTTCTCACTCTCTCTCTCTCTCTCTCTCTCTCTCTCTCTCTCTCTGTGTGTGTGTGTGTGTGTGTGTGTCTGGTCAAATTAAAATAAATGGATAATTTTTTTTAAAGCCCCTGGCACACTGCAAGCCCTCAAGTGTTCGCTGGCGGTATCGGCTATCTTTATTTCAAGTTCGTCAGGGCAGCGGGAGTGTCTGAAGAACCCCTGGGTTCCAGGCCCGGGCAGTGTCCGGCACAAAGCAGGTGCTCAGTAAAAGCTCGCTGACTGAGCGGGAGCCGGCGGGGGCCTCTCACCTGCAGCAGCGGCAGGAGCAGCTGGTTGAGCCTCCGCCGCTCCATGAGACTGACCGCGCCCTCGCCGGTGCGGCCCATCTCGTTCAGCAGCACCAGCACCGCGATCTTATACGGCGTCACCCAGTCCTTGATGCCGAACACGTTGGCGTGCACCACCCCATTGGTCATCATGGGATTGAAGTAGAGGCTCTCGTGGACGCTGGCCATGGCGGCCCGAGACTAAATCCCGGAACCCACCACGAGCAACGCCCAGTGCCACCTCCGGGAACACCAGAACTCCCTTCTACATTCTCCACAGAACTACGTTGTACCCAGAAAAGGGACCGCCTTGCGCCCGCGGCAGGCCTTCGACCAATCATAGCGGACTGTCAGACCACATGGGTAGAATAAGGCCAATCAGAAAGCTCAGGAGTGCCGTGAGGGATGGGGCAAAGACGGTGCAGCTAAAAACTAATTCCCTACAGAAACTCTTGCCCAAGGATAGCAGGTTCCCATGCGACGTGGACTGGCACCCGCTGAAAGGTGGAGTCAGTGCTTGGGGTCCGGATCTGAAGGAACTGAGTGGTAGCCCAGTTGCTCGTTTAAATTGAATTTTAAAATGATTGTACTTAAAAGCAATAAAATTAAACCCGCACCTTTAAAGTACGCATTCGATTCGTTAACTTAATTTTTAAACTCAAAAGTTTGGTCATTTCTTTGCTGTTTAAGATATGAATAAACATTTTTCTTCTAAAGTATTTCACAAATTCCATAAACAGCCATGTCAAATTACAAATGGCCATGTATTTTCGCCTCCCAGTGGTGAATCTCTGTTTCCTATGTAATAAACTACAAAAATCAATACCTGGAGGGGCTAGCAGTTGGAGGACTGATTAAGTCGCTGGACTTCCCTGTAGCTGACAAGAGTTTCAAGTTTCAAACCTGGTGGCTTGACAATCACGCAGGTGCGTGTGCGTGTATGCCCAAAATCCCAGGAGAAGACCTGAGGATAAGGGATTGTGACCTGGCCATTCTGCGGAGAGCGGGAGGGGAATTTCTCACTTTCCCTCTTACTGGCGAGTATACACTCCCTATGGCAAAAAACCTTAAAAAGAAAACAAAAATAAATAATCTGGCATTCAGTGTCCTCCAAAATTAATTCCTAGCCAATATTTTCAATATGATTTTTCACAATTCCTCTTCCATTCATCCGTATCTCTCTCAAGATACTTAGCTTTCTATAGCCTGAATTATAATTAATGATTTGCTGTCTCTACTAGTCTTTATGTCCCTGAAAGAAAAACCTCATACTGTTCAACTTTAGTTACACACACACACACACACACACACACACACACACACACTGTGCCTACTGCTTGGTTTTTGCTATTTGTTTAATGAATAATTAATGACGGTGTGGTATTAGTTCACAAAGACAAAACAGGAGGCAGATACTACAGGCTAAATAAGTGTCAGAAAAGAAGTCATTGATAGCTTGGAATACAGGTTAGTTTCCATATCTTGAAAACTGTACATTTTATTTACCAAACACAATTATTTTTATTTGCAAAAGAGAGAGCAGGCTTTCTGCAGGGCAGTTAATATCTACTTAACCTCTTTCTTTGCCTCATCTTCTTTATACATCCCCACACTCTTTTATGAAAAACAAACAAAACATACTTACAATCTCACAGCTCGCTCAGGATCTTTTTATGTATTGGGTATAGCACAGAATAAAGACTGGCAAAGGGTCTTTATGAAATGAACGTCTAGTCAGGCTTAAAATTCTGAATAGGATCACTTTATATAAAGAGGAAAATAATTTTATAAAATCCTAACTAACATTTTACTGTAAATTGATAAGAACTTTAAGTCATTTATTCATTTATTCAGTAAAATCTGCTGAGCTCTACTTTATTCAAGATTCTGTTTTATGTGCTAGGGAGCAAATGGGGTAAACTTCTAGACCAAAAATCACAAGCTGGTGACCTCTAAACCAAATGTGGCCCATTAGATGTGGTTTTTTTAAATGACATAATCATCATTTTTCTTTTTTAAAAATTATTTCTTTATTGGGGCCAGCAGGTGGTGTGGTGGTTAAGGGCGTTGGACTCCTACATGGCTGACTGCAGTTCAAGTTCCGGATCTGGCAGCTTGCTTTCTCACTTTCCTTCTTTTTCTCTCTCTTACACTCTATCCATTTCTGGTTACATTTAAATAAATAAGTAATAAAGTTAAATAAAATACTTATTTAAAATTATTTAATTTCATTTGTTGTTATTATTATTATTAATTTGACCAGAGACAGAAAGAGAGAGTGAGAGGAGGAGACAGTGAGAAAGCAAACCGCCAGGTCTGGAACTTGAGCCACGGTCAACCATGTGGGAGTCCAGCACTTTAACCATCATGCCACCTGCCAGCCCCCCATTAGATGTGTTTTATTTCCCTTGCATAGTGTTTTCTAACACAGATTGGGAAAAATTTTTAAAGAATTATTTTATTTAACTCTATTTATTTATTTATTTATTTATTTATTTTAATTTGACCAGAGAAGACAGAGTGTGTGAGAGAGAGAGAGCAAGCCACCAGGTCTGGGATTTGAACCACGGTAAGCCCATGCAGGAGTCCGGTGCCCTTAACTACCATGCCACCTGCTGGCCCTAGATTGGGAAATTTAAGCCGAAAAATATTCATATTCCAACTTCACTTGAAAAATTAAAATTTGACAACACGAGTTTATTCCTATATGGTGACAATTGACCAGATCTGAGCAACAGGAACTTTTACTCAGGGCATGCTGTCCCCAAGTCACTATAATCCTTGCCATCCTTATGTTGCTTAAGAGGCAATTTCCTTTACCTGCTGGCCAGTTTCACCTGTAAGTACCTGAGTTGGTCACTCCTAGTTTGGACTCTTCAGTTTGCATATACTTCATTTTAAAAACATGGTTCAATAGGGGCCAGCAGGTAGCATGAACATTAATGCACTGGACTCCCACATGACCAACTGTGGTTCGAGTTCCAGACCCAGCAGCTTAAAAATCATGCCGGGTACATTTACGTGTGTGCCCAAAATCCCAGGAGGAGACTGAAGAAGAAGGAATTGCAGCGTGGCCCTCTCTTCTGGGGACGATTTCTCACTTCCCACTTTCCTTCCCTCTGTCTCTCTGCTCTGTGGCTAGCACACATGCCTATGGCCAAAACCTAAAAAAAAAAATTTTAAAAACAAAAATTGTGGGAACCAGCAGATGGCATGGTGGTTAAGGCGCTGGACACTCCCAGATGACTTGCTGTCTCACTTTCTCCTCTCTCTCTCTCTGGTCAAAATAAATGAATGAATAAACAAAATTAAAAATAATTATTAAAAATAAAAAAAATTTGTTACATGAAGTGTTAAGGACTTAGCACAGTTGACTCAAAGGAATTTTGAGAATATGAGTGCACATACTAGAGGCTAAGCACAGTGTCAGAACTGAAGATGCAAAGAAAAAAATAACAAAAACGAAACCGGATGGCTGCCCTTGGGGTACTCATGGGCCATCAGATAGTTACTTATGCAAGTCACTGATATAAAATCATACATATAAGTGGAACTTATAAGTGGAACTTGAAGAAAGTGCTATGAAAATAGCTGCATAGGGCCGGTGGGTGGCGTGGTGGTTAAGGGCACTGGACTCCCACATGGCTGACCGTGGTTCAAGTCCCGGACCTGGTGACTTGCTTGCTCTTTTTCCCTCTCTTTCTCACTCTGTCCCTCTCTAGTCAAATTAAAATTCATAAATAAAGTGTTATAAAAGAAAAGAAAAGAAAATAGCCACACAATCCCTAAGGAGAAGATGCAGAAAATCCCCACAGTTAAAATGTTTGCAGGGTTTTGATAATATTTAGCTATTTTGTTGTTGTTTAAGGATTTTTGCCATAGGGTGTGAATGCAGTTCGAGTCCCAGGCTTGATGGTTTGAAAATTATGCTGGGTGCATGTGTGTATATGCCCCCAGTTCCAGAAGAATAGAGGAGAAGGGATTGTAGCATGGCCTTCTCCCCTAGGAGGTGATTTTTCACTTTCCCTATTTCAGTCTTATTCCAATGAGTGCACATGCCCTATGGCAAAAACCTAAAAAATAAAATAAAATAAATTAGAAAGTTGTTCTGAGTGGTGCATGATTATGGTAACAATTTTATGTATCTCTGAGAACTGCATACCCCGAGTATTGTATCAAATAGAGCCACTTTTTCCATTGCTCATCGGTCAGTCGCTCGCCAGCAGCCGAGTGCGGGAACACTTCCTGCTGTTCCCACCACAGAGGGGAAGGCCTGCAGTGTCAGAGAGCGTATGCTTTACCTGCTGGTGACTGGATCTAAACCTTCTGCAAATGACAAACCCGAACCATTGTTGGTTCTAAGACATCATGTCAGAGGAGGTAGGTAATTACTCTGATTTCTCCCAGCGAAGGAAAGGTAATCTAGGAGCCAGTTCTCCATAAACACTTTTGATCATCCAAGAAAATCCAGCTGAGAGGAAGAAAGTATTACCTATGGAATAAAATGAGCCCTGACTTTGAGATTCAAGCAGGCTTGTGGCTCAATCAATACAGAAAGTTCTAGGCAATTAACTGAGCTGCTGGGAAAACTTGATCACTAGCCTGACAAGCATCACTAAGTATTTCCAGATCCAAGGTAGCATTCCAGGCTCTCAAAGCTCATGAACTGAGTTGACCTTGATCCTTGGGGAGAATCCTCATTGTTGTCTTTGGACCTCCTATTTCATCTGAGGTAGACAGCACTATTTTGCAGCAAGAGGGGTCAATTGACTAACTGGAGCTGAGTTTTATGTTTCTATTGTCAGCTCTCATCATTTGCTCGGTTGAACCCACTTCTCACATCTCAACCCTAATCAGCAAAAGGTAATAAGCATTATGCAATTCTCACAAGTATAGGAGTGCATTTTACATTCACCTTTATCATTTCTTTGCAGACACCCTTATTTGCTATCAATATTTGACTTGCTGGCAGGTTCCAGTGGAAGTGGCTACTTTCAGTAATAGAAGTAGAAACTACAGGGGTCGGCAGGTGCGCAGTGATCAAGAGCACTGGACTACCACGTGGCTGACCACAGTTCAAGTCCTGGACCTGACGGCTTGCTTTCTCACTTTTCTTCTCTTTCTCTCTCTCTTGTTCTGTCCCTCTCTGGTCAAATTTAAATAAATAAATAAAGTTGAAATAAAATAAT